ATTTATCGTCAACGATTTCTCAAAAATGGATCATGCGATCGAAGTGAAACTGATACCATCGAAGCGTTTCCATGCCATTTGGTGCTGATTAGATTATAGATGGAATTGCTCCAGCCGTTTTCAGTTTTTCCAGAAACAAATTTGAGAGAAAAAATTTCTTCAGCGATTTCTCGTGCATGAAAGATGCGATCGAGATTTAATATAGTGTAATCGAAGCGTCATGACGACATTCAGCACTGATCAATTTATGGATAGAATCGCTCTAGTGTTGTTCTCCAGTTTTTCCAGAAAATCAGGGAAATATAATTTTGCTAACATTTTCTCGCGAAGGGATGATGCGATCGAGATCCAATGGAACGCAATCGAAGTCTCCTAATACGAGTGCGCGCTAATTATGTTGTACACGGAATAGGTCCAGCCATTCTGCACTTTGTCCAGAAAAACTGCGAAAAAGGAAATTTCATGAACGATTTCTTGTGGATGAATGATGCGATAGAGGTCTAATATAATGCAATCGAAGAATCTTGATGTCATTCACTACTGATTAGATTATAAATTGAATCCCTCCAGTCGTTTTCCAGTTTAAAAGAAAAGAATGGGAAACGAAATTTCTCAAACATTTTTTTGTGAACAGATGATGCGATCGAGGTGTAACAAAAGGCAATCGAAGCGTTTCAATGCAATTCGGCACTGATTATGTTATACACTGACTAGCTACAGTCGCTCACCAGTTTGTCGAGAAATATTGTAGCAAAAAATTAATCAGCGATTTCTCGTGAACGACTTATGCGATCGAGGTCTAATATGATACAATCGAAGCATCTTCACATCAGTCAGTACTGATTGAATCATAGATGGAATCGCTCCAGTCGTTCTCCAGGTTTTCCAAAAACAAAATGGGAAACAAAACTTCGCAAACATTTTTTTGTGAACGGATGATGCAATCGAGGTGTAACAAAAGACAATTGAAGCGTCTCGATGTGTTTCGGTGCTGATTCCGTTGAACGGGTCACACCCGCATGAATGCATTCGCCAGCAAGCCACCCACAACTACGCACCCCACTTCGGGAGCGAGCGAAACGAGCGACCAACAACGCGACTACTAGTTTTATTCAAAATAGGCAGTAATATTAGAAAAATAATTTTTTTAATGCTCTCCTGATGAGGAATGACCCTTAACAATTATTTTGTGTCCAAACAATATTTGCAGCAGTTCCATAAATGAAATAAAATACTTGTCCGTAATTCTGAGGTGGAGCAAGAACTCTACCCAGTAATTTGAAGCAAATAATTCGTGGATGAATAGTAGTTATTGAGAAAATAAATATAACGCTGATAAGAATCTCAACCGCTGAAGATGAAAACAGGGTTGGGAAAGCCTTAGCTCACCAAGGCTGAGCGACTCGGGCCCAATTTTATTGTTTTCTAAGGCCTGAGGCTCCTTCAGCCCTGGCCAAGACTGAGAATCAAAAGACTGAAATTTTTTGAAGTCTAACTTTCAAAAAATGATGGCAAGGAAATGGTTTTTAAATGTCAAAAGTTCCATAATTTACAGTTATGAGTAATAAATACTTTGAAAAAACATGAAACAATTTTTCAATTTTCACTGTTTTTAATCACAAGCATGACTATGAAGACATAACACCTGTGTCTATAATGATGGCATGTATTTAACATGGAATAATTAAGAATAAGAACAATAATTACAACGTCATTAATAACAATTCCTGGTCAAGTATTTCCATCAAAACTTGGTCCTGGCAGTCCAGTTCGATTTCCAAGTTATAAATTTATTTAACCAAAAATTTATATCCCCGCACATTTTTTAATCAAAAAAAAATTTTTTCTTGGAAATTGTTCGGAAATATCTGATATGTATCTAAAATAAAAGTTTTCGTACAAATATTATATGTGCGTTAAAAAACAAATTCATTTTTTGACCTGTTGGTCCGAGCCTCAGAGTAGTGTAACTCCTTAAGCCACATGGTACGAAATGGCATGATAATCGAGCATTTAGTTATTTTAGCCATCTTATTCATAAATTCAGTGCCTGAATAATTCTTCTGGATTAAATTTTATTCGATTAATATATTTTTCCAGTAAGTAATTTGTTACATGACTGTCGATGGGAATGTACTAAATCCAAATTTCATTTTTCAAAGTTTAAAGAGTCGAAAGTATTTGAATTAACGGAAATATCTTAGTATAGGATCAGTGAATCTAAACACTTTGTTAGTGAGTTGAAATCTTGGATACACATATAGATAATCGTCATGCCTGGGACCAAAGCAATTTATTATAAATTTATTTTATTGATTTTGACGGGAATAACTCCGCATGATTCAAAGAAGGGATAAAAAAACTAGAAAGCGATTGAAATTATCGATCAACTGCGATTTGTAATAGGTCAAAAGAACTTGAATATATACTATTATTGATAATGCCAAATGAATCCTTAATTTTATATCAATTATCGATGAGATCAATAGATGGCTTCTATTCGTTACTGTTGGAAGGCAATTAAGTCGAAACAACGCAATAACCAAATGGTCATCTCATTTACAATTAAAAAGGGCAAGCTGCGACTAACCCGACAAAATGAATTCCATCTGTTTCATCAGAATGTGAGAAACAAAACAGCATATTTCTAACCTAGAACGAAAAAATAAATGATCAACAGAAACGAGTGTAATTATTAGTCAAGTCCTGTTAAGCATTCGGCAACGAGAAAGTTACCGTTTTAGGTGTGAAAGGACATCAATTGGGCTTTTCAGACACCCAGAGTTTTTCTCCTAAGAATATGTAAAAAGATGTCGAGTCAAATGAAGATCTTTTGTCTCCAAAAATAAATGTCATAGGCGCCAGAACCTATGAACTCTCTTCAACTGTTGTTTCGGGTAAATCCAATGTCGTCCGATTTACAATCTGAACAATCAGAGTTTCGCATAATATATGCCATTTGCCCCGTTGTTGAATAAATCAATTTTGATATCTGAGTCGTAATAAATCTATTCCATTTATTACTTATTGAGCCATGTTGAACTATATCAAACTCCAGTAATTCCTTTCGCTATCCGTCGTAATTCTCATTTATTCCGGTGCCATATATTTCAATGATTAAATATCATTGGAATATCTATCCTGAGTCGTTGACGATATTTAAAAAATCAATTTGACTGGTTCGTTTTCCGCACCATGACCAACATAGACTATCCTCAAAGATGCATTTGACATGTTTGGATACGTTTAATTCAATGTTATTGATATGATCCTTTGAAATGACCTATCTCTTTGGGTCATGAATATACGATAAATTGGCGCCTCGAGATTCATTGGGGGCCAATTCATTGTGCCTATCCGGCGAGACCCTTTCAGAACATTTTCTCCTTGAAAATTCAAAATTTAGTGGGAAATCGAACAGAACTTCAAATTTTCGTACCACTTTTTGCCGAAAGCCAATAGAAAACCGGAAAATTTATGTGAGTACCATGGCGGGGGGACAGGGGGGTGAGGGGAAGGAATACCTCGAGAGCGGGAACCCAACGGAACCAGATTTCCTAATCACGGGGGGAGGCAGGAAGGCATAAGTGTTCTTTAGTACCAAAGTAATATTCAGAATTTTCTTCCGCCATTCCTCTTTTTTTTATCCGTTGTGGTTTTATATTCATTTGTTATCAGTCATTTTCGAAGTTTGAGCTTGAGTGACTTGAACAAATGACTGGAAATGTTACTGGTATTGAAAATTTGAAAAATAATTTACAAAGACATTTCATATTCCTTTCAAGTTTTCGACCATTCCACTTTCATTTTCATCGATGAATGTCCTATCTGAACTATCATATTATTTTCATTTTTTTTTATCAAAAAGGAAATCTCCAAACACATGCAAAAAATTCAAAACATTCGCCCTCGCATTTCAATCACGCGCATGCGCTATCTCGCAATGCTACTCCCTTTTTTTCAACTATTCACCATGAAATTTTTAATAAAAACTGTCGAACAAAAATTTACCGCTACAACAATGTTAACTGCTTGAATCCTAGTCCGTTCATGTCCTACAGGATACCTGTAGCAGATTCTTTGGCTGCTATCATTTGGACTACATTTCTAAGGAACAAAAACACTGTAGGAGAACTTGTAACTGCTGGTGGTTGAGGAAATAGTTAATCTTATCGGTTAAATTAATCATTTCATAACTGGAACACCCTTCTATTGTCCTAATCCTTGTTGAACTAATTGACTACTGGAATTTGAAACCACAACCTGTATCCTCTGATCGTTTATGTGTTTATTAATTGATTTTATATGCTATTTTGATTAACATAGTTAGATCCAATTTTAATTTGGACTACCCACCGCTTGTGTGTCAATAAATCCACCAGAACTAATGTTGTTCTGCGCTCCCTGACCGGAAAAAAAAGAAAGTTTTAAGTGGGGGAAAACGCGCAAAATACCATTCCAGTGGATCCAGGTAGCTTCCTTCAGTGGATGAGGCCCCTTTCCTCATTGTGAGTAACGAACCTCGGAAGTCAGCTGAGCCAAATGAACCGAGGTTGCTGGGCCCGAAGGTAGAAGGCCAGCCCTGACCAGATTATGTTATTATCCCTGTGGGGTTCGTAGCAGTTGCGTCCCTGTCGCCAATTCTGGGTAATGCTACGTACTTGGGAGGCTAGTAGTAATACACCCCACGTTGAATTGAATTGAACCCAATTTTATGTAATTTATAAATATGATATAGCTACAGAAGGCAAGGGGCGAGCTTGTTTATACCTATCCATGTATAAACAATATCAATTTTATGTTGTGAAGAGGCTCAATTCATTAAATCCACTATGTTCTCCCATAGTATGAGTCAGTTCCTATTAGACGAGAGTACAAAAATCCATGATTGTCACATTTTCCGGAAAAAAATTACAGTCCATCAAATACGCTATTACCGGATAACCTTCTATTTGTATAGATTCTGAACAAAATTGACTTATTTTCCTTTGTTTTTGCAGAGATACATGATGGATCGTGCATCAGAAATGCCAGTTAACCGATACCAAAGGTAAACCAGGAGACAGGTTTGCATAGAGTATTTTTTATATGTTTAAAATTAGTGAATTTGGTGAAACATAAATTAATACTTTCTGCGTCAAAACTAATTTTCTGATTAGACGAAGATTTCTCCTTAAAAGAAATAATTGGGAAAATTTTCATAAAATACATAGCTAATTAGTTCTAAATTTACCTTCTTTAACTGGCGTACATCTTTGCGCTAATATCCTTCAGAATGTAGATTCATTCGAAAATTTCAAATGACTTTCTTTATAAACCGAGAAACTATATAGAATATAATATTAATTGCATTCAAATGATCCGATCTGTGTGTAATGAAGCGTTCATATGTACGAATAAAAGTATATTTTTGACCAATTACCTTTAGAAAGATTTTTAAACTGAAACCCCATCATTTACCATTCAAATTTTATCTATTGTAACGTACTTTTTGGTATGTCACTTCTTCCTCGACATTCACGCGAATTTAGCAGATAGATACCAGGCAAGGAGTCACCTTCTACGCCTAGAGACGAGAGAGAGCGTGTTCTATTTAATTTTCCTAATTTTGGTAATTATGTTCAATTTTACTGCGCACCGCTACGCTACATCGCTGAGGGGACAACTTCGGGAACATCGTGGGACTAAGGAGTTTCTGCGATTGTAACTGGCCGACGACAGTTTGTGGAGAAGTTGGTAGCCCTCCCACATAAAAATTCCATTGCAGATTTCCATATGACGTTTCTAATTTTGCAAATGAAATTTAAGACCGAAAAAGAAAATTTGTATTAACAAAATGGGTCAATAAATGTCCTAATTATTTCTCTTGCGAGACGTACCTTTTAACTTATAATTTTGACCAAATGATAGAATCTAGGAGTCGAAATTTGTCCAAAGAAATCGGCAATTGAAAATACCTAAAAATTAAAAGATGTAGATGCTAGTAAAAAAATAAGAGATATGAATAGTAAAAACATTCGATGACGTTTTTGTGGTCAGTTTTTCGTCCGACACTGAGAAAAAATTCCACTAAAAAAATTAGTGTGCAACACTAGTCCTGGGAGGGAACAGGGGGTCACCAAGAAACTCGGCTAGACCATACGAAAAATTTGGATCTGGCGCCCTAATTTTTGAAAAACTTACGCTACTTTTCCGCGGGATTCTCTTCAAAACTAAGGTGCCACATTCGCTTTTTTCGTGTTAGCCACTCAAATTCCTTAGAGACCCTCTGCTTAGTCGCACGACCAGTGGGTGGCCCACTAATTTTTTAACGTACTCACACGGAGTAGTGATATATTTTTCTCTCCGTGTATGAGGGTGCTAGGGTTCAGTGGTCTGTATGATGGACGGGGCACAGATGTTGACCAGCTCTCTAATACTCGTCTGTAAATACCGACGTCGGAGTTAATGTCAATTTTTTGGAGCCGCAGCGTGGGGCTGGCTCACTGCAATCACATTGCGTGCATCCAATACTTTTATGAAATTGGTCCTTTTTCACTTCTGGAAGATCTGGAATCGCGGAGGTTGGAAGTACTTTATAAAAATCGGTAGCCTTTTATGAAACGGTTGAATGGTTAGTGCCACTTGTCACGTCAGAGTTAATTGTTTTAGTCGTAACAGAAAAGGTGAATCAGGATGCCACCTTGCATTGTATTCGTATGTACATCGGGATGTCAGTCGAACGCTGAAAAAGGTTCGTCTTTTCGCGTTTCTCAACATCCTAAAATTTTGAATAAATTACAAGTAGCCCTGAGAAAGACGAATAAGCTCTTACGATCCGGTAAAGATGTGTGTGCGAAACATTTTCTTTCACGGATATCGGTACACACAAAGCACGATTAGGGCCTGATGGAACTGCCCTCTGACTGGTAAGTTTAAGGTTTAGTGAATGGATCATATTAATCGATATTCTCTTTATAGAGAATATTCAATTCTGTTACATAGTTTGATACACGTATTCACAACATTCGATTGAGCGTCAAGCTTGCCATGGCCAAGGGATCCGGTGACTCCTAGCAACATCCGGCAGCGAACAAAGTCGGAAATCATAAAATTTCCCCAGTGTTAGCAGAGATTATAGGGAAAATCAGCAGCGCTTATGGCATAGGTTAAACAGCGAAATTCGTAGCGGCGGCTACAGAACTAAATCAGAGGCTATACCCGTGAATAAGGCAGGGCATGAGGGCGAGAGTGTTGACAACGGCGTAGGGCAGGTAGATATAGAGTGGGGAGAATCGAGGAGATTGGGGAGCTATAGCGGGACCTCTTCATCGGCGGAAAATAACTACGGAATATTGAAACGCCCATATGTATTACACTTAGTTTTAAAAACTCATATTCGAATTAATATTAAGAGATGAAATAAGCTGTATTCCATGAGAAATTAAATCCTCCATCCATCGACGCTCATTTAATTCCTTAATAACTCGGGATAAGCGAGCTACAATAACTCTAATCTGCGTTAGGTGGCATTGGGGAGGCCAGTCCGACCATCCGCGTACTCAAATGTAACCTAACTCGGGATAACGCCTCAGTTCTGCGGGGGCACCTCTGTAATAGTCACAAAAAAAGAATGTGGAATTGTTTACAGAGGTGAAAAGTGATTTTCCTTTAATATCTAAAGGTGGAAATTTCTCATAGTGAAAATTCTCGGGATTACTCGGATGGAGGCTGTAATTTCTCATCGACTACAGCTCGTTTCATCCCTTGCTATCGATTAGGAAAGAAGAGATGATTTTTTAATTGACGGACGGACTCGTTGGAGACCACACGGCGCTCCACAACCACTGGGTTTCTGTCAGCGCGCTGATTTTCGTCGTTCTTCAAGCATTTTCCGGCGGTGAAGACTTCGCATTTTAGCTCCCCCATCTCTTCGATTCCGCCACTCCATCTCTACCTCTCCTATGTCGTCATCGACACTCTCGCCTCCGTGCTCTGCATTTTTTATTTACGGGCACAGTGTCTGATTTAGTTCCGTATCCGTCGGTAGGAATTTACACTGTTTAACCCTTGTCATAACCGTTGCTGATCTTCCCTATATGGGGTATTAGAACGGTTAAGGTGCCGTAAAATCCTTATTTTTTTTCCTCCACAAGATGAAGTGACTTCATTCCGACAGTTTTGTGGAAGTTTCCCGCTCATAATTAATGAAACAGAAAATAGTATTTTCCCTTGATGTCGGCCCAGTTCTCCTTGTTCTCGGGGATCTCGAAAATCGTTTATCCAATTGTTGTAGTTTTAGTAGAATTTAAGGGCAGAGGGATAACGTCCACACATAGCGCGCATGTGCCAAATTATAAATTTTGGGGCGTTCCTGCGCGTACGGACGGGCAACAAGTGGCAGGCGTGCCACTCTCCGCCCGGCAGCGTTTCATCAACCATCTTGAACCATCGTGAACTATCTCTTGTCATTTTGTATGTCATATTTGATTGTAATAACTGTGTGTGAAAAGACTCGATTCCCGTGAACGTTTAAACGAAATAAATTGGTTAATCGTCCACATTTATTCGTCAGTAATCGTCTTGTTAATATTCTTGCTTCAACCTTTTCTCTTTCTCTCTGCCTCTTTGTATTTTAGGTCTACCATCTTCCACTCCCTGAGATCATAGGAAACGTTTGTTGGTTTTTGATAAATTCAACTGGTGCCCATTTTCGTTATTTGTTCATTGCCCACTGTCGAATTTTGGGCCCTGGCAGCCACTGATCCAGGCCGTGCCAGGTGATGACGTTCTACACTGTGACGTCGATGTGTCCGTAGTCGATAATAATTATTTGGTTGTCCTATCTTTCTAGTCAGTATTTCCAATAAAATAGGGGCCTGTCTCAATTGGCGCCCAATGTGGGGCACGTTGGTTAAATCTTGTTCAAGAAAATAAGTAAAATATAAATTGAATGTTGAGAAACATTATTTTGTAAAGTGCTAGAGAGAGAGCATCAAGTGTCAGAGTATGGGCGTTCAGCACTACAGTTGAATGCCTTGTTTGTATAAACTTAACGGATGAACGACCTGAATGGTGATTCACAGTCTTTGCTTTTCTTAATCTATCCTTTTCTTTACAACTGAAAACTTAATACTGTCTTTCTTCTTTTAATTCTTCTGTCTTTCAGAGTGTAATTACTCAACGTGCATAAACTTTTTTTTTTAATATAACGAATCATCTTGCTTGATTGTCCACTGGGCTGATTCGGAAAAATATCTCTTTCTGATTGTTCAAATTAAATTTTTACTGACAAGAAACTTTTCTAAATTTATCATGTAATGTTTACAACGCCACCCAAAGAACTAAAGAAAACAGAAACCCAACAAACGGAGAGAACTTTATGATCGCAAAGAAAAGCATTAGATAAAAAGATGTCATTAGAAAAGGGAAATACACCCACGTAGGAAGGCGCCGCGGCCGCAGTTACAGGCGTGAGGGGGCGTAATACCTCATGAAGAAGACCCCATCAAACGTCAGTACCCCCAGATCGACCAGGAACCCCATTTATGAGTACTAAGTCAAGCTCTAATATATGAAGAGTTTACCGAATCGATGCTAAATTTTCAGGCAAGATTGCATGAAGTAGAGAGCTTTAAAGATGATATAAAAAGTTTACACCGCCAATTCGATCAAATTATAATTTTTAGTGTCGGGCAGAGTCAGGCCGGATTACAGTCGACGGATGGAAATTTCCGCCGACAAGAAACCAATACTAATGACATTTCAAATAGAAATATAGGTGATAAAGATTCACAGAGCAATGAAAGTATATCACAAAAGTCTGATAGAAATTTAAATGAAGGGAACTCAAGAAACTCGGGAAATATCGATGATTTCAAAAATTTAGAAGATACGGCATTGCCACGCAGCAGGAGTACATTGGGTAATAGTCGACAATGAGGTAAACGCCAACCAACCCTCCAGAGGAATCGGAAGGTCCCGGGTTCAAGTCCCGGTCTGGACTATCCATTTTTTCAGTAATTTTTCTCGCAAAAATTATATGGAGAATTATCCTGTTCCCCTTCCT